TCTAGTCTGGTTATTTAGAAAAATAGAGCGAAAGACGCTCTATCTGTTCATAGAAAAAGAAATTTTTTTGAAGCTTTCTATAAGAAAATAAAGTACCTCCCTCACTACTTTTGGTATGCCCAAAGTAATACGTGGTTATGTACGTAAGAATTGTTTGTCGAGTTGCGAAGTGTATGATCCCCCGTCGAATACGTGGACTTCAGTCGCCAGCAGATCATAAAGCACGTTCTTCACACACCGCAACTCTATTATCATCCGGGAAAGTATTAGTAACAGGTAGTTATGTAGATATGAATTATTTGTCAAGTTGCGAAGTGTACGATCCTCTATCGAATACGTGGACTCCAGTCACCAGCATGTCATCAGTACGTTCTTCACACACTGCAACTCTATTATCATCCGGGAAAGTATTAGTAACAGGTGGTACAGATGGGAATCGAGTTTCATTGTCGAGTGACGAAGTGTGGAATTTGTAGAACTCCTAATTAACTGAATCAGGCTGTTTTACTGTTTTGAAATTGATATTTCTGCACATTGATTATTGTTGTCAGCTGATGGTGTAGTGCTTGTTCTGTTTCTGAGAAGAAAATAGAGCTCGATCGCGCGGTTAAACTAGGTGATAACCCCCAACCGCCCGATCCGGGACTAGTATGCTTTGTCAGTTGAGATTAGAATCTTGATTATGTCTGGAAGAAGTAGAATTCTGATACGTACTGGTTTACCCTGAAACGGATTTTAAAATGAACTATCAATAGCTCACCATGAAATTTTGATTTCACGTAGTTCTTTTTCGATGTGAACTAATTCAGTTTAAATTCTACAGCATTATAATCTCAGCTTAAACATATATCTTCATCTGAACTATAAATAGGCAGCTGAACTGTAAATCAAATACGGTAAACCAGAAAAGAAACATTAACTTACATGAGGGCTTTAAACTAAAAAGCGTAAAAAGCTTTAAGTTTTTAAGACCCTGTAGACCCAACAGACCCAAACAGGTGCTCTGAAGTGCTGGAAAGCATCATGGTTAGATTCAGCATCAGTTTTCTGTTGGTCGGGAAGTCGCAGAAGGCTTGCAGAAGTCTTATTTTATTCAGACTTCAATTCTCTGTCGATCAAAACCATTCTCGAAAAGGCTGGATTTTGAACGGGTCTTCTGGAGACCCAGTCTCTGGAAAACCCTCTGGATGGTTTTCGAAAATTTTAAAAATGTTTCCATTGCATTTGTCATCATTTTTTACCGGTAGATCCAAATTTTCATTGATTTTGAGTTAAAACTGTCTGAGCTGTTGGCAGAACTGGCGCCCGATTATGGGCAAAATTGCCTAGTTTTCAATGAAAATCTAATATCTCAGGAACAAAATATAATTTCAAAAAAAGGGTACGTTATTTTATTCTACGCTTGACGGCGGATCGAATGGCTTTGCAAGTTGAGAGTAGAGTCGAAAGTGGACATATCTCAACTCGCATTGAGCCCGGTACACTTTTACTGCGCCAAAAATTTTGAGTGCTAAGGGAATATTTGTTAATGATTTTACGTACAGAATCAGAATGAACGGATAACAGAATTCCTAAATTAATACTTCATATTTGTTG